TCTCCCCCCGCCCCCACTGCATGAGCCACCCTGCCCTGGGTCAGGAAGCAACTCAGTTCTAACTTCGGCCTCAAGCCAAAGCTAGAGCTGAGCCACTACCTGCCCCAGGCTGGTACTTGAATTCAAGACTAGCATTTTTTCCCACTGATGCTAAATGGGGGAAATAGCCTCATCTCAGATTTAGATTAATATGGTAGTACATGATACAACAGCTCCCTAAATGACACCCCAAAACTTGACACTGCTTGCTAAAAGTCTGCCAAAATAAGAATGACTTCAGTAATTTTAAAACTTGAATAAGACCGAAAGTTGGGTATAATTACATTGGGGAATGACCTGCCTTCACTGTGTGAAATGCCTTGGAGAAGCCTATAGAGCAGGATGGTATTTGTTCACTTCGTGATTCTCACAGTACACATTTTCTTAATGTGCTGGTGAGCACTTTCTTCATCCTCCTTATCATTATGAAAGTACTAACCCCCCCCCCCCACACACACACACACTTTTGCTTTTAAAAGTTATAAACTCAAAGCTGAACAGCAAAAGAAGAAAATAGGTGTGCACTATTTTCCAGTATCAGTGTTTGGGTTTTCAGGAAAAAAAGTGAAGTAATGCTCGAAGAGAGTAGAAACCTATAATTTAACAATATCTCAATTTGATATCTAGTCCATTATGAATAAAAGAAACATTACGTGTGGTGTCAGACTCCATTGATCCCAGGGTCCCTGGTCCAGCCAGTGTCCCAAATAACGAACGTCGGGATAGACCACGGTGAGACTGAGAGGGCATTTTCACCTCTGTTCACCCCAAAATCATTGTGGCAGGGTTTTTTGTGGTTTTTTTTTATTAACTTTTTTCTTACGTGTTTTTCCTTATTATTTGGAATTCAAGTTGTGGTCTGATGAAGTAGGTTTCCTTTGTAGCTTCCCTTTCTGCCAACTGAAAAAATATTAGTGAGAAAATGCTGCACACTTTTTTTCCTTTCTGTTAACTTCTGTATAATTTATCTTTATGGGATATGCATTTTTAACATTTTTATATACATCACTTTATTATTGAAAAGGTCACACTTAAATTTGTTTTTTTATATTCTAGGTGGTTCAAGCTTTGATTCAAAAGCATTAAAAATGGCATCCAAACAAGAACTCATGAGGGATGAGCGCTTTAGCCACATCACAAAGGACCCTAGATTTTGGGAAATGCCAGATAAAGAGCGTAAAATCAAGATAGACAAACGATTCCGAGCTATGTTTCATGACAAAAGATTCAAGTTAAAATACACTGTTGATAAAAGAGGCCGCCCTGTTAATCACAGCTCTACAGAGAATCTGAAACGCTTTTATGAACTTTCAGATTCTGATTCTGAGCTATCAGACTCTGACAATAAAGTCGTTTCTGGAAAGGAAATAAAGAAGAAAAAGTCAAAATCTAAAGGAAATAGGGACTCTGGGAAGTTGCTTGTCAACAGTGTTCCAAAGGAAGAAAGAAAAATGTTTAAACAGGAAACAGACCGAAGATGTCAAGCTATGTCAGAATTCA